TGAGTTGGGAACCAGTGAGATGGGGTGCCTGGGATGAATAATTCTCACTTTCCATGGGATGTTTCATCCTTGGAAAGAATGAATCAGATTCTTCACATAGAGTCTCTGGGCCATGTTCCAACGAAAGGCAAGCAGAGGCTGGATGGCCTTTGTTTCTAAAGTCACACAATATATTAACAGCTTTTGTCACAGTGGATTGGTCAAAGCAAGTGACTGGACAGCCCTGGAATAAACCCAAATTGATCATGGTGTATGAGCTTTTTGATGTGTTGCTAAATTCTGTTTGCCAAAATATGGTTGAGGATTTTTGCATCTATGTTCATCAGTGATATTGGTCTGTAGTTTTCTTTTTTTGTGTTGTTTTGGTATCAGGGTGATGGTGATCTTGTAGAATGAGTCTGGAAGTGTTCCTTCCTCTGCAATTTTTTGAAAGAGTTTTAGAAGGAAAGGGCTTAATTCTTTTCCAAATGTTTGATAGACTTCTCCTGTGAAGCCATCTGGTCCTGGGCTTTTGTTTTTGGGGAGATTTTTGATCAAAGTTTCAGTTTCAGAGCTTGTAATTGGGTTGTTTATAATTTCTATTTTTTCCTGGTTCAGTTTTGAAAGATTGAACTTTACTAAGAATCTCTCCATTTCTTCCAGGTTATCCACTTTATTGCCATATACTTGTTCATAATAGTTTCTTATAATCCTTTGTATTTCTGCATTGTCTGTTGTAACCTCTCCTTTTTAATTTTTAATTCTGTTGATTTGGTTCTTCTCTCTTTTTTTCTTGAGTCTGGCTAAAGATTTGCCAATTTTGTTTATCTTCTCTAAGAACCAGCCTTTAGTTTTATTAATCTTTACCATTGTTTCCTTCATTTCTTTTTTCATTTATTTCTGCTCAGATATTTATGATTTCTTTCCTTCTACTAACTTTGTTGGTTTTTTTTTTGGGGGGGTGTTGTTCTTTTTGCAGTAGTTTTAGGTGCCTATTCAATGCTTTTCTTGTTTCATTAGGAAGGACTGTATTGCTATAAACTTCCTTCTTAGAACTGCTTTTGCTGCATCCCATAGGTTTTGAGTTGTTGTATTTTCATTGTCATTTGTTTCTAGAAATTTTTTCATTTACTGTTTGATTTTTTCAGTAACCTGTTGGTTATTTAGAAATGTGTTGTTTACTCCCCATGTGTTTGTGTTTCTTACAGTTTTTTTTTTTTCTTTTCTTTCTTTCTTGTAATTGATGTCTAGTCTCATAGCGTTGTGGTCAGAGAGATGCTTGATACAATCTCAATTTTCTTAAATTTACTGAGGTTTGATTTGTGACCCAAGATGTGGTCTATCCTGGAGAATGTTTCATGTGCACTTGAGAAGAAGGTGTATTGTTCTGCATTTGGATTGAAGATACTGAAGACATCAATGAGATCCATTCCATCTAATGTATCTTTTAAGACTTGTGTTTCCTTATTAATTTTCTGTTTTGATGATCTGTCCATTGGTGTGAGTGGGGTGTTAAAGTCTCCTACTAATATTGTGTTACTGTGAATTTCTCCTTTTATGTCTGTTAGTTTGTCTTATGTATTGAGGTGCTCCTATGTTGGGTGCATAGATATTTACAATTGTTATGTCTTCCTCTTGGATTGATCCCTTTATTGTTATGTAGTGTTCTTCCCTTTCTCTTGTAATCTTCTTTATTTTAAGGTTTATTTTTTCTGATATGAGGATTGCTACTCCAGCTTTCTTTTGTTTCCCACTTGCAAGGAATATATTTTTCCATTCTCTAACTTTCAGTCTATATGTGTCTTTAGGTCTGAAGTGGGTTTCTTATAGACAGCACATATATGGGACTTGCTTTTGTATCCATTCAGCCAGACTGTGTCTTTTGGTTGGAGCATTTAATCCATTAACATTTAAAGTAATTACTGATATATATGTTCCCATTACCATTTTCTTAATAGTTTGAGGTTGATTTTGTAGATCTTTTTCTACTCTTATATTTCGTGACCTGTACAAAGTCCTTTTAACATTTGTGTAAACCTGGTCTGGTGGTACTGAATTCTCTTAACTTTTGTTTTTCTGTAAAGCTTTTTATTTCTCCACCAATTTTGACTTAAATCCTTGCTAGGTAGTAATCTTGGTTGTAGATTTTTCCCTTTCAGTACTTTAAATATATCCTGCCATTTCCTTCGGCCTGCAGATTTTCTGCTGAAAGATCAGCTGTTAAGTGTATGGGATTTCTCTTGTATGTTACTTGTTGCTTTTCCCTTGATGCTTTTAACATTCTTTCTTTGTGCTTAGTCTTTCTCAGTTTGATTAGTATGTGTCTTGGCATGTTTCTCCTTGGGTTTATCCTGTATGGGACTCTTTGCACCTGTTGTACTTACTTGATTGACTATTTCCTTTTCCAGTTTGGGGAACTTTTCAACTATAATCTCTTCAAAAATTTTCTCATACCCTTTCTTTTCTCTTCTTCTCCTGGGACCCCTATAATTCGAATGTTGGTGTGTTTGATATTGTCCCAGAGGTCTCTGAGACTATGCTCAGTTCTTTTATTTTTTATTTTTTACTTTATTCTGCTCTTCAGAAGTTAATTCCACCACTATATCTTCCAGCTCACTGATTCATTCTTCTGCTTCAGATATTCTGCTATTGATATCTTTTAGAGTATCTTTAATTTCAGTAATTGTGTTGTTTGTCTCTACATGTTTATTCTTTAATTCTTCTAGGTCTTTGTTAATTGATTCTTGCATTTTCTCCATTCTGTTTTCAAGGTTTTTGATCATCTTTACTATCATCATTCTGAATTCTTTTTCAGGTAGTTTGCCTATTTCCTCTTCATTTATTTGGACTTCTGTGTTTCTAGTTTGCTCCTTCATTTGTGTAGTATTTCTTTGCTTTTTCATTATTATTATCTTTTTTTTTTTAAGCATATTGTGTTTGAGGTCTCCTTTGCCTCAGGCTTCAAGGTCGAATTCTTTCTTCCTTTTGGTTTCTGACCTCCTAAGGTTGGTCCCAGTGTTTTGTGTAAGTTTTGAATAGGGTGAGATTTGTGCTGAGTTTTTGTTGGTTTGTTTTTCCTCTGATGGGCAAGGCTGAGTGAGGTGGATATCCTGTCTGCTGATGATTGGGTTTGTATTTTTGTTTTGTTTGTTGTTTAGATGAGGCATCCTGCACAGGGTGCTACTGGTGGTCGGGTGATACTGGGTCTTGTATTCAAGTGGTTTCCTTTGTGTGAGTTCTCAGTATTTGATAGTCCCGAGGGTCAGTTCCCTGGTTAGTGCAGGGTGCTGGCGTTAGTGCTCCCACTCCAAAGGCTCAGGGCTTGATCTCTGACAAGCATGAATTCAGCTGTAGGGTTGGAGGTACACTGACTGGATTAAATTTCTACAGCCTGGTTTCCTCCTGACATTTACTCTACACACTTTCCATCACAAGGTAAGAAGTGTGATGTCTGAAGTTCCAAATCACTGTTCTGTCCCCAGCTATGAGTGCCTCCTCCTCTGCCGTCCACTGCCTGGAATCCCTCCCTCTCAGCTGGGCCAACTCTCTGGCTCCCACCACTGCAGCTACTCTGGCAAGAGGTCCGGGGTGCACCCTAGTCCTCCAGCAGACCTCCTCATCTTCCTCGTCTTCCCTGCTCAGGCCTCCCCATCTTGTCTGTTTGCCCTGCCCACCCCTGGAAACCAGATAGGAGACCAGGACACTTCAGCTTCAGTGTGGGCCCACCTCCTGTTGTTTTTAATTTTTGATTTAGGAAACAGGTTTAAAGAAGCCCTGGCACCATCTAAAATCATTTACATGCTCAGAATCTCTGATGAGTCCTTTAAAAATATTCTTTAAAACAGATTCTAAAATGCCACCAAAGTTGAGAGTCATTGCTTTATTTCCGATACTTCTTTAGAAAAAAATGATGTCATTAGTAGGAAGACTAGAAGATGACTCAGAACAAATTAAATAGCAATAATTTCATGGTACTCTTATCACTACTTTAAAACCTTTTAGTGTTTATAAGTGTTAGTCACTTAGTCGTGTCTGACTCTTTGAGATCCTATGGACTGTGGACAGCCAAGCTCCATGATCCATGGACTTCTCAAGGCAAGAATAGTGGAGTGGACAACCATTCCCTTCTCCAGGGGGATCTTCCTGATCCAAGGATCGAACCTGGGTCTCCTGCATTTCAGGCAGATTCTTTACCATCTGAGCCACCAAGGAAGCCCAGTACTTATAAAATTTCATTTAAATATCATATACTAATATAAGATGTGTGAACACATCTTCCGAAGGAAATACATTTTGCAAATACTTACTTAAAATTATTTACTTTTTAAAGACTTTTGAAGTTTCAGACCTTTAAGGTGAAGTTTTATTTTTTAAAAAAGCGTTTTTATATTTGAAAAAAAAAGTATATAAATTACCTCTGGATCAAAATTAGTTCCTCCAGAAGCACTTAAGAAAAGATGCAGTATCATTTTATTGTTCAACTTTCTAATAGTTTAAAGCATAATCTCATGTGGATAATTATTTTAAAAGCAGCACTTGTATGAAAAATTCACAAGTATCTTTTTCTTTAATTGTTTTCAATATCTACCCTCAAATTAAATCTACTTAAGTTACCTGAATATATTATATTATTCTATTCTATGTTAAGTTTATATATATACATATAAAAAAAAACCTACAGCAAAGTATTATCTATCTACATATTTATATATAACATTTGAAACTGGTGTCTATATTTCATACTCAACTATCAGAGATAATCTAATTAAGCTTACTAGGATGTTCAGCAAGTTCAGTTACCAAAATCACCAAGTTATATTAAAAAGTAAGGACTTACCACAAAGATTCACATTTTAAAGTGAATTAATTCTCTTAAAACAAGTAGATGATAAAAAAATAAATCCTTCTGTTCTACAGAAACATGGATACAATAAATTACCACTAACTTCAGAAACATAACTCTTACAATGACAATAAGAATTTGAGGAAATTTAAAGGATCTCATTTGAGGTCAAACTTACCAGCAAATTTGATATGAAATTTATTTTCAGGCTTTAAGATCTGGACATACAAAGGACAATTTGGAGCAAAATCTTTTACAGCCCATGCTCTTAAAATTGTTTGGTGATCCTGAAATGATAAAACCCAAAATATCATGAGATGAACTGAAAGTGTTATAATATTAAGTAAAATTTGTCAATCAGTGTGTGAAATGGTCACATCTACAGTTTAAAATTAAGCATATGAAAACATTCATTGAGATTTCTTACTATTAAAGATAAGATAACTTGCTATTTTTATGGTGGTGGTTTAGTCACTAAGTCGTGTCTGATTCTTGAGATCCCATGAATTGTAGCCCACCAGGTTCCCCTGTCTATGGGATTTTCTAGGCAAGAATACTGAAATGGGTTGCAATTTCCTTCTCCAGGGGATCGTCCAGACCCAGGAATCAAAACTGGGTCTCCTGTATGGCAGGAGGATTCTTTACCAACTGAGTTACGAGAGAAGCCCTATTTCTATAAAAGAGATCAACAATACACAATTCAATTAGTACTAATTGTCAACACTTAGAAATTAGCAGAGATTAAGAGGAAAGCCTTTGACAAGCATAAAAATAATTTGCCCAGGAAATAATTAAGGGGTAGAAACCTTCAGAAATGTGGCAAAATTGAGTTTGTAATAACAGTTTCCATGGGAAAAAGATGGACGTAAAATAATTTTAACATAGATGGTAAAAGGGCAATGACTGAAGAGACCATTTGTGAGAACACATTAGTTTACTTTTTATATGGCAGTAAAGATAAAAGAATTTTGATTTTGTGTGTATTGGAAGAAATCAATAACTTTCAGATATCAAAAAAGTAACAGAAAAGTTAAAAAAAAAAAAAGAAAGAAATGCTAAGATTGAGAAAGGAAGTGAATATCATGCTTACCATGAAATCTTACATATAGTATCACACCGTAACTGATTTAACTGAATAAATCAGCTTGATTTAATTGAATAAATCAAAGCAAGTTACAACTGTCCTTCGGTTTCCAGGACTCTCTATGCATAACAAAATATGAGGATGCTCAAGATCTTCATGTAAAATGGTACAGCATTTCCTAAAGGAAATCACCCCTGAATACTCAGTGGAAGGACTGATGCTGAAGCTCCAATACTTTGGTTGCCTGATACGAAGAGCTGACTCATCGCAAAAGACCCTGCTGGGAATATTGAGGGCAGCTGAGGATGAGTTGGTTAGATAGCATCACTGGCTCAATGGACATGAGTTTGAGAACTCTCTGGGAGATAGTGAAGGACAGGGAAGAACTGACATGCTGCAGTTTGTGGGGTCACAAAGAGTCAGACACAACTTAGTCACTGAACAACAACAATTTGCATATAACCTATGAACCCCTCCCAAATACTCTGAATCATCTCTAGATTACTTATAATATTTAGTACAATGTAAATACAATGTTAATAGTTGCTGCCAGCCAGTAAATTCAAGTTTTGCTTTTTGAAAATTTCTGGAATTTCTTTTTCAAATATTTTGATCCAAATTTAGTTGAATCCAAGGATGCAGAACCCTCAGATACAAAGGGATTTAAAAAATACACTAATGTTAGCTACATTTTATTTATTTACTTTTTCACTGAAGTATAGTTGATATACAACATTATATAAGCTACAAGTGTAAAATACAGTGAGTCACAATTTTTAAAGGTTATATCTCATCTATAGTTATTATGAGACATTGACTATATTGCCTGTGTTGTACATATATCCTTGTAGCTTATTTTATACCTAATGGCTTGTTCCTCTTAACCCTACCCTGATATTGCCCCTCCTTCACTGCTTCTCCCTACTGGTAACCCTACCTTATTCTTGATAAATATTATTCTCTCTTTTTGTTAAATTCACTAGCTTGTTGTATTATTTAGATTCCATATATAATGATATTATAAAGTATTTGTCTTTGACTTATTTTACTGAGTACAATACCCTTCAAGTCCATCTATGTTGTTGCAAAAGGTAAATTTTCATATATATATATTTATAAATTTACATATATATATATATATACCACATCTTCTTTATCTTTTCATTTATTGATAGACACTTGGGTGCTCTATATCCTGACGATTGTAAATAATGCTCCAATGAACAGTGGGATGCATGTGTAATCTTCAATTAGGGTTTTTGTTTCTTTCAGATATATACCCAGGAGTGGAACTGCTAGGTCATAAGGTAGTTCTATTTTTAGTTTTTTGAGAAACTTGCCTACTGTTTTTGACAGTGGCTACACCAATTTACATTCCCACCAACAATGTACAAGGATTCCATTTTTTTTTTTCACATCCTCACCAACAATTATTATTTATATTCTTTTTGATAATAGCCATTCTGACAGGTGTGGGTGATATTGTGATTTTGATTTGCATTTCCCTGATGATCAGTGTTATTGAATATCTTTGCATGCTGCTGTTGGCTATCTGCATGCTCTCTAGCCAAAGAAATAAGACAAGAAAACAAAATAAAAGAAACCAAATTGGAAATAAAGTGGCAAAACTTACTGTTTGCAAATAACCTGATACTCTACATAGGAAATCCTAAAGATGCCACCAGAAAATGACTCTAGCTCATCAATGAATCTAATAACGTTTCAGGATATGAAATTAACATACAGAAATCTGTTGCTTTTCTATACACTAATAACAAAATATCAGAAAAACAAATTAAGGAAATAATCTCATTTACCACCACATTAAAAGGAATAAAATATCTAGGAATAAACCTACCTAAGGAGGTGCTCTGAAAACTACGTGATGCTGATGAAAGAAAGTGACAATCATACAGATGAAAAGATATATTGTGTTTTCAGATTGAAGAATTAAAATTGTTAAAATGACTGTAATCCCCAAGGCAATCTATAGATTCAGTGCACTCCCTATCAAAATACCAATGACATTTTTAACAAAGCTAGAATAAATAACTTTAAAATTTGCATGGAACACAAATGACCCCAAATATTCAAGAGTATCTTGAGAAAGAAAAACAGAACTGGAGGAATCAAACTCTCTGTCTTCAGATTATACTACAAAGCTAGAGTAATCAAACCAGTACAGTACAGGCACAAAAACAAACTCATAGATCTACGGAACAGAATAGAGATCCAAGAAATAAACTCACATACATATGGTCAATTAATCAACAGCAAAGGGGAAAAAAAATATACAAAGGATAAAAGACAGTCTATTTAATAAGTGGTGCTGGGAAAAGTGGATAGTTATATCTAAAAGAATGAAATTGGAATATTCTCTACCACCAAATGCAAAAATAAGCTCAAAATGGATTAAGACCTAAATGGAAGACCAACAACCATAACACTCTTAAAGGAAAACATAGGCAGAACACTCTTTAACAATAAATTGTAGTAATTTTTTTGGATCCATTTCCTAAAGTGAATGAAATAAAAGGAAAAAATAAACAAATGGACCTAAACTTAAAAAGCTTTTGCGCAGCAAAGGAGACCATTGGCAAAATGAAAAGATAACCTACAGAATGGGTGAAAGTATTTGCAAATTATATGACCAGGAAGATTGATATCCAAAACCTATAAACAGTCCATACAATCCAACATCAAAAACCAAACAAGCTGAATGAAAAAGGGACAGAAGACCTGAATATATATTGTTTTCAAAGAGGACATGCACATAATCAGGGTAGCACTGACTATGTAATAGCCAGTAGCCACATGTGGCTCTTTAAACTTAAAATTTAGTAAAAATTAATTAAAATTAATAATTAAATTCCTTTATCACATTAGCTACATGTCAAGAATTCAAAGCAACATAGAGCAAGTTCAATGGTATATCAGAATAGTGGAGATATAGAATACAGAGGATTTTCATCATCACAGCAAGTTTTATTTGACAGTACTATTAGGAAAACAGAAGATTAAAAATACAAGTAGATTTGAGGGACTATTTGTGCAGAAAGAATAAACGGTTATCAATGGTTTGTAACTTTAAATCACACGAAAGTTAATGAATAGAACACCAGAATTCTTTAAGTGAGCAATGTGTGCCTTCCAAAAGGTAACAATGACCCGAAAATGGTGTGGCAGTTAATTTCATGAGTCAATTTGACCAGGTCATAGTGTGCCAAGGTGTTTGGTTAAACATTGCTTTGGCCGACTGGGCAATCCCAGAAGAGACAGAGAAAAGAAACTAGAAATTGTGTGTATAAATTAACACGTTGGCTGGCCCCTGAACTGTGTATGCATGGGGCAGAATAAAGGCAATCTGAACCAAGATTTGAATCACTGCCAACAGCAAGGGTGATAGAGTTTGCCTTTTGAATTGAATCAAATTAACTTCTTGCTAGAACAAGAATATCAATATTGGTGGAGGAGTACAAGAGACTCCAAGGCTTCACCCCAAAGCATGATAAACAGAATACAATGCAAAATCACTGAGTATGTGAAGTGGCAGAAAAATGTGACCTATTTTCATGGGAAACAAACAAACAGTACCCAAGAGTTGCTAGTATATAGATGATCAATGTAAAAATGATCAGACAAAGATTAAAGCAGCTCCTGTAATCACTGAGGTGATAGAAAATAGTGCTTCTAATAATCAGACTAGAAAATCAATAGAGGAATAGAAAATATTTCAAAAGTTAGCTGGAAAACTAAAATATCTGAAGAATATTCGCTGGGTGGATTATGAAATAGATGAAAATGACAGAGGAAAGAGTGAATGAACATGACCACAGATCAGCCGAACGCATCCAATTTGAAAAACAAAGAAAAAAAGAAACAGGAAAGGAACAGTTCAGGGACTTTGGGAACTAATGTGGAAACATCTTAAGTCATGTAATTGAATTCCCAGGGAAGAAATAAAAGATAAATTAGAGCAGAAAATTATCTAAAGAAAAAATTGTCAGAAAGGTCTCAGTTTTATGAGATACACAGTTATGAATTTAAGGAGTTCAGCAAATCCCAAACTATGTAAACAAAATGATAACCACACCTAAGTGAAACTGCAGTCAAACTGTTGAAAACCAAAGATAACAGATACTATCTTGAAAGCAGCCAAAGAAAAACAGTCATAATAAGACCAAGGAGTCTCATCAAAATTAT